TCCGTGGACCGCCATCCTTGATAATATTCCACACTCCCTTGCCTCTCCAGCCTTTGTCACATCTGTCTGGCAAATGCATATGCTGCCTGTTTTCTCTGCTGCTGTACCAGATCAACCGTGCCTTGCTGGAGGGCAGGACAGATGAGTATCATTGTGCACTCTTGCAGGGCCTCTGCCGTAGTAGTGTGCCCAGTCGAGAGGGAAGTGGAGACTAAATTAGCACAAAAGTATCATTATGGACATAGTCAAGGGCCCGAACTCATGCTTACCAACCTAAAACGAGTTATTGGTGCCGCTTGGCAATTCTACTGTATTTCCCTTATCAAATCCCTCATTCTTTTCAAGGGATTATTTCAGAAATGCTTTATTTTTGTGAGATCTCTGATTGTGTCTCCCATACCAACAGTACCTCCTTTTCCTCTCAGCAGACGATTCTGCCTCTTATTCCACAGACACTGAAGTCAAGGCATTAGCTCTCCTGGCAAGAGTGTTCTCACCCATCAGCAGGCCCCCTTTCCCAAGTCAGTCCACTTCCAGTGTGAGACCCAGGACTATAAAGATGTGGTCTCCTCATCCCGACTTGGGACAACTTGAAGGGCCATCAGCTTCAGAGCTCGCCCATGGAATTTCCAAGGCCTTTGCGGAGACTGCACTGCAGCCCAGCTTCTCCCTCTGCCAGTCCTGCTTCCTCCCCTTCCTCAGGTGTTGATCACTAGAGCACTACCCCATGCATCTCCTGCTTGCTAATCTGATCTGAGAGTCTGCATCCTGGGGAATACATGGCCAGCCAGGCCCCTCTGCTTCAGGAGCCTCCTCTGCACCACCTGCTTCCTCCACCAATCTATTTCGGCACCGCCCCGTCTTCGAATATGGAATTCGTCTTTGACTATGGAATGCTGGCTCCCTCCATTTGGCCATTACCTGCTGTTCTCCAACCTCTGTACCTGTTCACATCATGCCTACCCATCTGTAAGATCTCACTTCAAATATCTTTCTCCCCAGGAAAACAGATGTTTCCTTTCTCACAACCTCTCATGGAACCATATTTCTTTCACAGCCCTTGGATTTCTGTCTATCTCCATTCCTAGAATTTAAGTATGCCAGCAGGACTGCCGGTTTCCGCTCTCCATTGCACCATCGGTGTTTTGCATAGTTTCAGGTGGTATACTAAACGCCGGATGCGTCGCTGGGAGCAAGACAAAGCTCCCACTTTCGGGGAGCTCACAGTCCACTGAGAGAATGGGAAAGGACTTAAAAAATGTAGTCATCTCCATTTTACTAATGAATAAATGGAAGCTAGTTACTTGGACAAGATCCCCATGGTCAGTGAGAAGAATGAGATTAAATTCAGACTCCAAAACACTCAGGGAGAAAGGAAGGCAAAAAGGAAGGGAGAGAGGAAGAAAGGGAGGGAAGAATGGAGGAAAGGAGGAAGAAAGGCAGGGAGGAAGGAAGAGAGCCAAGCAGCAGGGGAAGGAGGGAGGGAAGGATTACAACGACTGTGACGTACTGAGTTGTGGCCTGAAATAGGTTGTGTTTCTTCGGAATTACAAAGCATTTTCTTTGTGAATTCCTAGTGATTTAGAACTGCAGTGACCAGTACAGTAGCCACCTGCCACATGTGGCTATTGAGTTCTTGAGATGTGGCTAGTCTATATGGAGATGTGCTATAAGTGCAAAATGCATATCAGACTTCAAAGACTTAGAATGAAAAAAGGTCTGTAAAATACTTCATTAATGACATATATTAATCACATGTTAAAATTTTATTTTGGATATATTGGATTAAACAAAATGTATTAAACTTAAAGTGGTAGCCCTCATTTCTGGCATTACCTGCACACTTAGTTAACTGAGCAAAAGTGTTCAGTAAGCTGGAGAGGACTACTAGTCCACCAGCCCTTGGTGAACAGGGACCCCGGGAAGGAAGAATGTGGGTTAATTGGATGAGAGAATTAAGTGAATATTAGTTAACATCAACTCTAAATAAACAAGATAGTATGTTGTATTATAAAGAAGTGCAGTTAAGGTACTAATAACTAGTGGACCACATTAGACAGATGACTATCTAGTGACAAGCGATCTGGTAAACATACCATTAATAATAAAGTACACATACCATCAATAATAGAGCTTGATTTTTACAAACTCTGAACAAACACCTCCATGAAATCAGTACCCAATGCAAGAACTGGAGCATTGCAGCACACAGAATCCCCTCATGCTCCCTCCAACCCTCCTGCCCAGGACCACCACTATTCAGAGTTCTAACAACATGCATTAGCTCTGCCTGTTTTTGTACTTTTATATAAAGAGAATTATATACTATGTAATCTTTCATGCCCTTTGCCTCAAGAATCATACTAAACTTTGGATGACTGAATCCCAGCTCAGCATTTCATTGTGAGTTTGGACAAGCCTCTTAACCCTGTTTCCACCTCCAGAGGAGTGGATTTTAAGTGTTTGCCTCATACGGGTATTGTGAGGATTAAGTGAGATAAAGTATGTAAAGGTTTTAGCACAGTGGGTGGAGTATGGCTACAGCTGCTATACTGTACTCAAACTTCTAGTCTGTGAACTTTCTGGGTAATGCAAGACTCCAATGAACCACCTAATCAATTCTGAATACCAGGGAGGGAAAAAAATCCATGTTATCTGGGCAGACTCCAACATTCCTTTATTCACAAATGAGCATCTACACATGCAATGGGGAACTTGGCTACTTGATCCATCTCGCTTTTGGCCAAAGGAGAAAAGACATTTGTTACATACTTATTCATCTTCCCTTCTAGAATATCAGCTTGCTTCAGGGAAAGGTCATGCACAGGGCATCATAAACACTTAGCTAAAATGAATAAATAGGTAAGTACTAACAGTAGTAGGGCTTAGCAAATTATGTTCAAATCCGCTCAAAACTTTTGAGCTTTGTTTGGCAAAATTACAGTAGTTAAATCAGAGTAAAGTGAATCTCCCGCCTCCCTTCCTTGTGCTGGCCAGGAAAATCCCATCAAACCTAGCACATTCTGTACTTGGCACTTGAGCTAAGCATACCAGGTCCGAATACTTCAGAAAAAAGGGCAGTACACACTACTACTTTTAATATTCTTTGCTCCAAACTCAACAGCTTTTGACATACTTAGACCAATATACTGTTTTCAAAAACTCTTCCTAGCACATCAGCCACAAGCATTTTCCAAGTACACTTTATCTTGATATTCTACGGATATATTTCACATATTATTGACCATATCCATACTCATTTTTTTTAAAGGCCAGGGGAAAGTGCAATGTTCCAACAGAATTCTACTTGGTTCAATTTACCAACTGCTTAATTAGAAATAAATTTTCACTTCTCACTGAGTAAGAAGCGCCTCTTCGAATACTATCATTTTTACATTACAAATTAAAGGTCTGCATTGGCTGGCAAGCCTATCACTATAAACTGGATTAGTCAAGCAAGAAATTATATGGCTATAAAATCAACTAAAACATTTTAAGAAAGTAATACAATTTCTTGGCTATGAAGCAAAACTAGCTTCATGCAGATAACTAAGAAATCAAAGCTATTTATAATTCCTAGTATAAAAGAATGGTTAATATTCCACGTCATGACTAAGTTTTAAAATTACTTAAACGCTTGGTGAGATTTTTCTAAGCACCATGCTAGACACAGAAACGAAGTTGTTATATATAGCAATCCCTACTTTTCAGAAATGTAAAGTCTAATGGGAAAGTTTAATGGAAGCACTAGGATAATCAGGAAATGATTCACAGGCACGAGCTTTGAAGGCTAAGATTTTAACAGGGGCTAAGATTTTAACGGGTCCGGAGACAAAGGAAAGAAGTCATACAAAGAGGGCCTGGGCTGGTGGCTCACTCCTGTAATTCCAGCACTTCGGGAGGCTGAGGCTGGTTGATCACTTGAGGTCAGGAGTTGGAGAACAGCCTGGCCAGCATGGAGAAACCCTATCTCTACTAAAAATACAAAAATTAGCTGGGTATGGTGGCACACACCTGTAATCCCAGCTACTCAGGAGGCTGAGGTAGGAGAACTGCTTGAACCTGGCGGGCAGAGTTTGCAGTGAGCCGAGATGGTGCCACTGTACTCCAGCCTGGAAAACAGAGTGAGACTCCATCTCAAAAAAAAAAAAAAAAAGTCATATATGGGCCTGGAGACAGGAGTGTGCACATATGTTCCCAGGAGATCCAAGTCACCAGCATGACTGAAAATTAAATGTGGATAAGTTGGTCATGTCCAGGTTAGGAAGTGAAGGAGGAGGAGAATTATTTAAGCAACAGAGAACTATGGAACATGTTCTTTATATTTCTGTTTACATATAAGGAGAGAATGTGCTTTGTCCTCTCAGCAGTTTTATTTCAAACTATTAAGAGTGGCATTATAATTTCATATATCAGTCATAAATTTGATATAAGCCTTCTACTGAGAGGTAAACTCATTTTTTATGAGTTAATTCCCTCAAGTCTTTTGAGCCTACAAGGCTAAAGACAGAACCTAGATGGTGATGATTTACCAAGGTAATACCACAGAGCGCTGCCCGGATGACCAGTGTTCCTTTCCCAGATGACCCCTGATGCCACTGCACAATTTCTTGACATTTCTATAGAATGGAAACAGAGGTTATACGCAGGTGATAATTTGTAGCTGACCTCAATGTGGGGGTGGGTGATTACTCAGTGGGTATATGAAGGGAAGGCAATACCATAAGTGATAGAACAAAGGAAGGGCAGGTCAAAGTTGGGAAAAAGAGGAAATCTGCTTTGGACATGTTGTGTTTAAGGTGCCGACAGGCGTGTCATGCAGCTGAAAATATGGTTTTAAATGAGGCTCAATAAAGGGGCAATGTTATATTTACTGATAAAATCACCTGTAAAGAGAGTTCTAAGGGAGAAAAAAGGCCTAAGAACTGAATGTTAAGTCTTTAAGGATTCTACTAGTTCTTCATACAACACAAAACCAAAATGAAATGAGCAATGCCAAGTCAGCTTGTACACAGATGCTTTATTCTGGATGTTAATATGTCGACATTGTATGCAAGATTCTCTTACAATGGAGTTTTCCTTACATCACAAAACTCAATTTAGTCACGGTAATTGCTGTATTAATGTGAAAACCTTACAATAAAATGCAGTATTATATATGTATAGTCAGTTTCCATGCAAGTATGGCTGCTACATGTATGTCTGGCATTTGTATAACATACTGAAAGAAATTCAGAGGAACAAAACAGTATAAAGGTGACTTAAGATGTCTGACATGTTTAAGATTAAAAATCTTGCAAAAAGCAACAAAGCAGTTAACTGAAGGATTCAACCAATACCGACCCACGTATGCATTATGTCCAATAAGGCCAGACTTATCCACAATATATTACCATTTAGGATAATTTAATGCTCAAGAAAAAATATGCTTTAAAAAGTATAGCTCTTCCAAGATATTATATTTTGGTGATTGCAGACTATGTACATCCAGGTAAGGGAAAACAACAACAACAACAAACCATTATGTGCTATTAGTTCAAGGTAACTGAAATGATCCAGTATGAGTTTGCTACAATCATTGGTTTCACTAAGTAAAATTTCTGTGAGAAGTTCATTAATTAGAAAGCAATCAACATACTTAAACATCCTAAGAGGATTCAAATTGGTTTAACTATTTGTTATCAACAAGTCATAATCTTAGTACCATACATTTTCTTCACTTCTCACTATATGTATATAAATATATAAAATATGCAAAAACTAGCAAGTAGATTTAAATAGCTTAAAATCCTTTTAGGTCTACTGTTCAAGAGCTAGGCATTAAAATACTTAGTATTTCCATTTCTATTAACATACAAACAGAGCAGAAAATCTTAACCTGCTTTCATTTTGTTTTTTAAGGCATAGTAGTTATTTTGGTATTTGTAAGAATTTGTCTGGTAATGGTTGATTCCATTTAGTTAACTTGAGAACTTGCCATCATTTCTTTATCTTTTCACACAGTGCAAGTGGTGGTCGCTCTTTCCTTCTCTCATAGCAGCAAGCCGATTCTGCTATTTTCTATAGCAGCATACTTCAGGAGTGGAGAGGGAGAGAGTGTGTCAATTATAAATAATTCAGACTACAGTGTACAATTCTATTTACCTGTCAGTGTTTAAGTTGACAGCACACCATTATATAACTGAAAAAAAATTACATATAATCTCTACCACAAAAGCAAATAAAAATTCTTTCAAGAAGAAATAAAATAAGTGCAAACACCTAAAACAGGCAACTGAAGCAACTGTTGTAACCTATAGAGAAACACAAAACATTTTTTAAAAGGACAAAATATTTTTTTAAATAAAAGATAATGTTCTCCACTTCTGAAACACTGAGTAAATATAAACTTCTAAGTGCAGATTGTTTTTAGGGACCAAGGTACCATATAAATTTTTAAACAAAATGCAAAAATTTCAAACACATATACAAATCACCAGATTAATGTATATGACCACCCTCGATATAATTTAAAAAGAAAATATTAAATTATTATTTAGTACATTTTTAGAACTACTTTATAACCAACATGATTTAAAGGGCATAGTGCAATATTTAGGTAGATGTGACATACAGTATAGATATTGTATTCTTTACAGCTATAACTTACTACTGCTTCATACTTAAAAGCCAAAATTATTCTTTACTGTGTTAGCTGTAATAACAAGAAACAACACTGGCTTCTAGGCACCCTGCATATGTATAAATATCTACATTTAAGCTTTAAAAATAAAATAAATTATAAAAACAGACTTCTTTCCAATTTACAAAGTTCTCCTGCTCCTACATACTGTACAATACATTCAACAAAACTCAGCTCTTCTGAGATTAAGAAAATACTATTTACTAATAAAGGAAAAACTCTTTTTGAATGCTTTTTGTTTTTAGTACTATGCTCAAATAAATACATTTAACACTGTAGTTAATTTTATTGTTTCTGAAAATAAAAAACAAAAAATTAGTAGTGCAACTTTCTATCCTTCCTTTAAATTCCTTTTCAATGTGTTTCTTTGTAAATGGAAGCCTAAGTAAATCAGCACGCGGGTAAAAGTACTTCATAAAATCATGTGTGCTTTCCATACATAGACTAATTTCAGAAATCATATGTACTCATACCCCTATCTATAACAAAACTGCAGCATCAAGAGAATAGCAATATATACCTTGTGAAGAAAATATATGAGAATTTACTTTTAGAATATCCATGAACATTCTATTATTTTCCCATCTTGTTCTTTAAAAACAATTTTTAAAAATCTCATACCTTAAAACATAAACTATTAAATTGTGACTTACTAGCTTTCTGCCTGCTCTATATAGAAAAAAGATCCTGTATTAAAAGGACTATATTACAACTTTAAAAACAATTAATTGAGAAAAATTTCACTGCAACCTAATTTAGTAGAGAATGCAGTAAGGAAGTGGGGCATTTCATCAGTTTTAATAACAATTACAGTATGAGAGCTCTTGAAGTACTGCTGGTAGCTGTGTAAGTACTCAGATATCTTCTTGCTTGTTCAGTCATAATAAGTTGGTCTTCTGTCTTCCCATAAACCACTGTTTCCCATTCACAATTTGACTATAAAGGAAATTTTAATAGTAATGTGAAAATTATTAAAATCTCCATATTACATCACAATTAGACTCTTAAAATCAGTTATTTTAACTGATTAGATATTTTATAATTACTATAAAATGTTTTAACAATGGCATTGTATTTTTTAATAATAATATCTTAAAATATATACTGAAATATTATTTATCAAGTTTTTAAAAAGTCAATTATTTTACCTATCTACATTGCTTACAGGCCAATGGAGGCAGTTTAAAAGTCTCGTCCCTAACAATTCCCCCCAAATCAAGTAAGTCCTAACATGTAAATAACTGTTAGTCTTTATTGCTTCAAAATTCTGCAAAAGGTTTAAAGAGAGGATGTAATGTCAAAAAATGAGCCAAGAATGCTTTATTTACAAATTAAGAAATATATTCATAACAAAAAATCAAGTTTATGTTTTTTTTTCTTCCCTTATTATAAAGATTACTATGTTATAGACATGATCAGCTATATAATAACTTTCCCCAAAAGTTCTATGTTAATTAAACACTGGGAATTCAAATCATTTTAGATGGATTAAGAGAATGTGCTACATGGCTCTTAGAAAGCAGTGGCTGAAAACAGATGTGAGGTGGCCAGATGTGATTGTCAAAGATGTTTTCAAAGCATGCTTCAGCATCAGGAATACTAGTGCTACAGTCACTGTGGCATAAAGAAAAAATTTCCTCCTCAATGAACTCTCAAATTATCTGGGGTAAACTCTTAAGATAATGCAGTAAAAATTTTTCCAACCTTCCTTTGCAGCTACACACTGGCCACATCCCAACCAAAAAAAAGAACTTTATTTTACAACTTCTGAGCCAAAAAGTTCACTGGAAACCATGGTACAAACAAAATCATGCTGAAACTGCTTCCAATCACTTACCCTTTTTCAGAATAGCAATTAGGGCTATACATATTTGTTACAGGAGAAGAGATGCCAAAAGTAGATGTATATATCTCCAGTTTTAAAAAAATATAGTGCTTAGGAAATCACCAGAAGAGTCTTTGGTTACAACTCCAATTGTTTAGTTTATATGTGCCCTGATAAATGAGTCTCTCAAACCCAAATGTGAGTGACAAAATAATGGTAAATGTTTAGTTGCTGTTACAGTCAATTATGAATTTAAAGGAAAAAGTATAATTTGTGGTAAGTCTAAAGTGATCATTGATTAAACAAACAAAAATCACTAAAGAAATTTATAAATCCATACCTGAAGATTCTTTTCCAATTTGACAACTTTGGAAGTGTTAGGGTTTGGTTTCTTTATAGTAAGTGTGTATGTTTTGTTGGTTGAATTTATATCTTGTTTTTCAGGAGTCAAGTTGCACCTATTGTCATGTATTTCCAATAATGGTATCATTAATAAAGATGTAGTAAATATATTTTCTGACTAAGAGAGAAAACAGAAAGAGGAAAATAACTAATTCAAAAATGGAGACACATGGAGGGACTACTGAGTAAGTGGTAATGGAAGCCCTGTTTATTTCCCTCCAAGAAAGCATTTGGCTCTAATGAAATTTCTAGTAATGTAGTAATATTAAGTATTTTGGAAATGAACCAAAGATAAACTCTGAAATTTAAAATCTTGAGAACTACAATTTTTTGACATCATAGATAAGACAGCTAACTCCTCTCATAACAAAAGAAGTATTTTTTTAAGTAAATAAAATATTCTCTACAGTGAATAGTTTCTCTGTGAATTAGGAAAAATGATACTAAAATAAAAATCTTCCATGAATCTCTAATGAATTGGCTACACAATGAGTAAGAAATAAGAACCACTAGGATTTAAAGTAACCATTTCTTTCTTGTTATTGTCTTTTTTTTTAACCTGTGTCTAGAAAAGCAACCATTTAAAATAATAATAATCCTTTACAAACCTGCATGTCTGAAATGTCTTCAGTCAATAGTTGAGTGCCTGATTCTTCTTTTTCCCAATTATCTAAGACTAGTGATTTTCTGACTTTCTTTCCAGAAGCGGTATTCTAGAATGAGTAATTTATATAGAAGTTTTATGGCGAAGTCTCTTGGATACAATCAGACTTTTATTAACAATAATACTAGAAGATTACCTCTTGTTTGCAGCTTTTGTAAGCAGGTTCATCTTCCTCTTTGAGGAATATGTCTGTTCCAGTTTCTTCTTTTAAAACTTCCCGAATATCTTCTTCCAAGAAGGCAAGTGGCTGGGACTAAATTGTTTTTTAAAATGTTGTAAAAAGTCATATATAGCAATTCCTTTTTCTCCCCATATATAGGAAACCAATCTTTTAAACTTTTCCATTACTGTCATAATTTTCTCCTAGCTCTTATACATATATCAATTTAATTAATCCATTTTATGGCAAAACAATATTGCACATTTGCAACCACTGAGTAAAGAATGGCAACTTCTTCTTTCTAGGCTACTAAACAAAAATCTTCCTTTTGGGGAAACCATTGTAGCTCCTGCTTCAGGTCAGGATCTTCAGAATTAAACAGAAAAGAAGAGGTTATTTCTTATGTATTTTTTTACATAAAAATAGGAAAAATAAGAAACATAGAATATATTGGGAATACGCTAGCTCTTATTCTACTTTTATTGTAATTATTACATAGTATGTAATTACTAGTTAACATGTTTCTGTTACCATTAAGATTGTGAGATACTGACACAGTATCCAGGGAGGACAGGAGGGTGGGGGGCGGGGAGAGAGAGAGAGCAAGAGCGAGAGCAAGAGAGAGAGAGAGAGAGTGTGAGAAAGTGTAAGAAAGTGTGAGAAGGTAGGTTACAGAGAGATAGACACTTGAGTGTGAGCTGAGTAATGAAACAGTCTCAAAATATTATTCATCTAGCTTTCGGTCAAAAAAGTACAGGTAAGTACAACTTATAACTCAGAAAAAATTTTTAAATTGTATCTAACTTATACCTGTCATAACCAAGCTATACTTGAAATGGTAATCAAACCTCTACAAAATAAAAGAACTGGCAGCACTTAATAACCAGCAGCTTGGCTGGGTGCAGTGGCTCACGCCTGTAATCCCAGCACTTTGGGAGGCTGAGGCAGGTGGATCACGAGGTCAGGAGTTCGAGACCAACCTGGCCAAGATGGTGAATCCCCATCTCTACCAAAAATACAAAAATTAGCCAGGCGTGGTGGTGCACACCTGTAATCCCAGTTATTCAGGAAGCTGAGGCAGAAGAATCACTTGAACTCGGGGGCTGGAGGTTGCAGTGAGCCAAGATCATGCCACTGCACTCCAGCCTGGGTGACGGAGTGAGACTCTGTCTCAAAAAAAATAAAAATAAAAATAAAAATAACCTGCAGCTTACATTCCCAGCCAGCAGCTAAGAGAGAAGAGCATTCATATATGAGTGAGATTTCACAGCACTTACAAAAACTTCTAAAATGAAAATAAAATGTTAAAAGTATTCTCATCTAGATTGAGATACATAGGAATTTAATATTAGTGTTTCTGTATATTTCTCAAAGAGCTTTTAATTTTTTTATTATTTACTTTATTTATCGAGAGAGAGTCTTGCTTTGTCATCCAGGCTGGAGTGCAGTGGCTCGATCTCGGCTCACTGCAACCTCTGCCCCCACCACCCAACCCCATTCAAGTGATTCTTCTGCCTCAGCCTCCCAAGTAGCTGGGATTACAGGCACTTGCCGTGACGCCTGGCTAATTTTTTTGTATTTTTACTAGAGATGGGGTTTCACTATATTGGCCAGGCTGGTCTTGAACTTCTGACCTCAGAAGGTGATCCGCCCACCTTGGCCCTCCTAAAGTGCTGGGATTATTAAAGGTGTGAGCCACCATACCTGGCCTCAAAGAGCTTTTTAATGATGGTACTTCACCAAGAACATAAAGTACTCTTTTTTAAAATTAACTTTTATTTTCAGTTCAGGGGTCCAAGTGCAGGTTTGTTACCTAGGTAAACATGTCATAGGGGTTTGCTGTATAGATTATTTCATCACCCAGGTATTAAGCCTAGTATCCATTAGTTATTTTTCCTATCTCTCTTCCCACCTTCCACTCTCTGAAAGGCCCTGGTGTGTTTTGTTCCTCTCTATATGTCCATGTATTCCCATCATTTAGCTCCCATTTATAAGTGAGAACATGCAGTACTTGGTTTTCTGTTCCTGTGTTCGTTTGCTGTGGATAATGGCCTCCAGCTCTATCCATGTCCTTGCAAAGGAATGATCTCACTCTTTTTTACGGCTGCATAGTATTCCATGGTGTATATGTACCACATTTTCTTTTTCTTTTTTCCTTAACTGTTTTGAGATGGGGTCTTACTCTGTTACCCAGGCTAGAGTACAGTGGCACAATTATCAGCTCACTGCAACCTCCACCTCCCACACTCAAGCAATCCTCCCATCTCAGTCTCCTGAGTAGCTAGGGCCATAGGCGCACACCACCATGCCCAGCTAATTTTTTGTACTTTTGGTAGAGATGGGGTTTTGCCATGTTGCCCAGGGTGGTCTTGAACTCCTGAGCTCAAACGATCTGCCTTTCTTGACCTCCCAAAGTGCTGGAATTACAGGCATGAGCCACTGCATCCAGCCCACCTTTTCTTGATCCAGACTAGTATTCTTTAAAAGATCTGGAATTTTTTCCCCCTTTAAGAATACAAATGTCCTAAAGTAATGGCTAAAACAGATTAATTCATTCATTAGCAAGAATTATTCTCTTAATTGTTCTAATGTGTCAAAAGCAAAGAACTCCTGCATTTAATACCTTTCAGGTTTGATAACACCAAACTTAATATTTCTACAGTTTTTTGCCTTTTGATAATTTAAAGTAAATATTAGAAGAATCCAAGTTTATTAATAAGGCAACAGATATTTAAGATATACCTGATTAAAATTCCAAAGCCAATCTCCAAAAAGTGCATTTGACTCATAGTAAGATACATTAGAAAACTAAGTGGTTAGCGTATAGTAGTTGCTCAGTAAATAACTGAAGGAGGAGGGGCAGGATAAATGAAAAGTCAGCTTACTCCGAAGAAATGTATGAACCTATAGATAGTCTAGGAATTTTAATTTTTAAATTACTGTCTTCCTTTTATCTTAAATTGCTAATGGAAGTGACCTGTCTAACAACAGTCAAATTGTATCCAAAGAACTAGCTGTGAATGCCGCTGGTATTAAATTTAAAATGTCAGAAGGGTAGTAAACAAACTGACAAGGGCTTTAGGTATTTGAAACCTACTACAAACGATACTTTTGGTTTTTTTCAAACAGAGCTACACTCGGTCCCTTAGGCTGGAATGCAGTGGCTTGATCATCACTCACTGCAGCCTCTACTTCCCAGACTCAAACCTCCTGGGACTACTACAAGAGCATACTACTATACCCAGCTATCAAATAATAAATTTTATTCCACTTATATGTTGACCAAATGACCTCGACTCACTGTAGAATTTTTAACTGCTTTCAAATCATTTTTTACTTGTCTAATCCCCAATTAGTCTGCATGTCCCTATGAAGGCAGGAACCATACTTGACCTTTTCAACATTCATTCCATAAAGCCTAGTAGAGTGTCTGGCACCTATTAGGCACTCAATCAATATTTGCTGAATTAATAATGAATTTTTAAAATAAACAGCAAAATACTGAAACAGGTTAAATCAATCAGGTAATTCCATACAATGGAATATTATGCAAATATATAAAATTATGGGATAAATATATACATTTATTTGGTTAAATTTAAAAAGAGTGTTATAAAATAATAAAGTGTGGTCTCTTGTTTTCTTTATATATATGCATAAATAAAAACTCCAGGAAGCTCTAAAGGAAATATGACTGTTCACAGCAGTACATGGAGCTAAATGACAAAAAGACTTGATCAAACCTACTGTGTACCTTTTAATACAGTATTTTGAAAAAGAAAAAAGAAAGACTAGAAGATTTGAGGATGTAACATGCTTTTGGGTAGAAAATTAAATCAAGTAAACTAGTATTTGTTAATAAATCTAACCAGAAAGTACTAAAAATAGAAGAACATAACTAAAAAATCCTGGAAGTGACCAGTATTTTAAAAATCATATTTCTAAAGAACTTGTCAGAAATGTTTATCTGCCTAAAATGCCCATCACTTTTCAAAGGTACTTCGAAGGTAGGAGTATATATGAAAGCACAGTAACTAGAACACTTCCCAGTCCTATTCATTCGTGAACTACTACCACAAATACTTACTAGAATAGCAACAACCAGGCACACACTACCTGAAACTCAGAAAAGCCCCTTTAATAGTATTATCTCTTTCAGCTTCACAGTAACAATTTGAGGTGTGTTTTACGATCTCCTTTGCATAGAAAAGGAAACTGAACCTTTTCCTAATCAGTTTCCTATAGCAGTACCCTGATTATTTCCTAAATATTATCATGAAAGTGCTTCAGTATATCAAAATATTACAATTATTTTATTCTAATGCATTTAACCATGACAGAAACTATTAAAATGTAAATTTCAGTATTAAGAGTTCCACTGACACTTGATCTGCTTTCTCTAGACGATACAAAGAATTCAAAACAAGCCAAGCAAGGGTTTATTTACAAGTTAAGGAAAAAGGTGAACACAAATTCAAACTTGAAAATCAGGCTGGGTGCAGTGGTTCACACCTGTAATCCTAGCTCTCTGAAAGGCCGAGGTCAGCAGTCCGAGACCAGCCTGGCCAATATGGTGAAACCCCATCTCTACTAAAAATACAGAAAGGCCAGGTGTGGTGGTGAGCACCTGTAATACCAGCTACTCGGGAGACTGAAGCATGAGGATCGCTTGAACCCGTGTGGGCAGAGGTTGCAGTGAACTGAGATCATGCCACTTCACTCTAGCCTGGGTGACAAAGTGAGACTCTTGTTTCCAAAAAAAAAAAAAAAAAAACCTTGAAAATCAAAAGATAAAACTTTATATCTGTTTCAGTAAACATCTTTTTTTAAATGTTAAAAGTCGGCCAGGTGTGGTGGCTCATGCCTGTAATCCCAGCACTTTGGGACGCTGAGGCAGGGGATCACCTGAGATCAGGAGTTCAAGATCAGCCTGGTCAACATGGTGAAACCGCATCTCTACTAAATATACAAAAATTAGCCTGGCGTGGTGGAGGGTGCCTGTAATCTGAGCTACTCGGGAGGCTGAGGCAGGAGACTCGCTTGAACCCAGGAGGCGGAGGTTGCAGTGAGCTGATATCATGCCATTGCACTCCAACCTGGGCAACAAGAGCGAAACTTTGTCTCTAAACAAAACAAAACAAAACTAAGTGATAAAAATCACAATTTGTGTTTTATTAAAATTAGGAAAATTATTAAAAATAAAAATAATATACATACCACAATTTTAAGAGGTCCATATTTTTTCTCCTGAGCAGCAAGCGCATTCTTAAAAGGAGTAGGAGTTCTTGGTGTGGTACCCAATATAGATCTTCTAATAGTAGGTGTTCTAAACCTATCCAATCATTTAGATATTTATGTTATAGTCATAATCTGATTTCATACAAGTTAATGAAAGCAAAGCAATTTAAGCACACGCTAAATTCTTTTACATATATATATGCTTCATTTAAACATTCTAAGACTATTTTAAAGTATGTCCACCTATAGTAATTCTGATTTCAACTAATCATCTTAAAATAGAAAAAAAGAATTAACGCAGAAAGAAGTACTAGAAATGTTTTTATTAAAATCAAAGTTTGATGCTATATTTAAATTGGTTTTCAGTGTCCTAAGGAGAAAGCATAACGTTACGATTAAAAAAAATTCTGCCCAGGTACAGTGGCTTATGCCTTAATCCTAGCACTTTGGGAGGGGGCTCAGACGGGCAGATCCCCTGAGGTCTAAAGTTCGAAACCAGCCTGGACAACACAGTGAAACCCCATCTCTACTACAAATACAAAATTAGCCAGGCGTGGTGGTGCATGCCTATAATCCCAGCTACTTGGAAGGCTGAGGCAGGAGAATCGCTTGAACCCGGGAGGTGGAGGTTGCAGGGAGGTGGAGGTTGCAGTGAGTGGAGATCACACCATTGCACTCCAGCCTGGGCAACAAGAGTGAAATTCCATCTCAAAAAAAAAAAGAAAGAAAAAAAATTCTAAGTCCTATAAGAATAGAGATTATGACACAAGCCATATATATGCACAAAAACCTAGTCTATTCTTAACACTGTGCTCCCCATTTTCTCTAACACGATTATTTAATATCTACTTACCCTACATTTTCCTTTTGATCTTTGGGAGTTGTTTCCTTATGAAGAGGAGTTGTAATAAGAACTTTTTGCCCACAAATAGGGGTTGATGTAAATGAAGGATTTTCTATATTAAGTTGTTCATTTCCAGGACAGGTGTTGAAAAACTAAAAAGGGAAGAGAGTTTAAAGGTGATTTCTAGAACATCAAAATCCCTACACAAACATTAAACTGATAAGATTTTCAAATTACTTCTTCATACTTCTTTAAAATAGCTTATGAATAATATTACACTTACACTCTATGGAAATTAAGCTCCACGAGGGTAGGAATTTTTGTCTGGTTTGTTTATTTTTGTTTTCCCAGCTCTTGGAACAGTGTTTAGCATATAAACAAATTCAATATACAGCCATTTAACATATATTCAAAAGTTAAAAAAATATAAAAATTTTAAAAAACAGAATATTATCAAATAAGGAGCTATAGAAACCATAAACAGCTGTTGTGTTAAATATAACAGTTTTGTACAACAGTGTGCAACTGAAAAAAACACGGTTTTTGTTTAGCTCTTATTAATAAATGACCTTAAGTGGCTTTTGCTTTTCTTTTCTTTTGAGACAGAGTCTCACTCTGTCGTTCAGGCTGGAGTGCAGTGGAGTGATCTCTGCCTCCTGGGTTCAAGCGATTCTCCTACCTCAGCCTCCCGAGTAGCTGGGAACTACAGGCACATGCCACCACACCCAGCTAATTTTTGTATTTTTAGTAGAGGCGGGGTTTCACCATGTTAGCCTGGATGGTCTCAATCTCCCGACTTCGTGATCCACCCGGCTAGGCCTCCCAAAGTGCTGGGATTACAGGTGTGAGCCACTGTGCCTGGCTTGAGTGGCTTTTTCCATGAGAGTATTTTAACTCAGAATATAATAATAATGCTTTGCTGTTAAGAAATACAGCTGTCTGGCAAATTTGCCTGTCTAGAACACAGAACAGAACCTCTAAGCAGCCAACATTGATATCACAGAGTCCATTTTCTAAACTACATAATTTACAATTATGAAATACTAATTGTATTCACAACACAATTGTGAAATACTAATTTATTTTTGTAGTCAAAAGATTAGAAACAGTGAAGCAGTAGATTAGAAGCAGTAAAAAAAATAGCTTCAAAGCTACTTATAACTAGAATGAAGTCTACCTCTATCACTTCTGGCTCCGAATACCTGAATTTATTTTACCCTAAGATTAGCAATCAAATCCTCTTTTACAGAATAAAATCCAAGCAGTTTGCCATGGGAAATAAGCATCTTTCAGCCACTTCCACCTTAGAATTCACACTCCACAAAAACTGCTGGCATGCAAAACCCCAGAACAGAAAACTGCTAGTGTGCCCGAGCCTATTCACTTTCCCCAGTTCTTTTTAATTCTGAGAGCAGGGCTGGGGTGAAGAGACTATTAACCTTGTAGTCTACACAAATGGTATCCCCTGAAGCATGGGTGCATAATTTTCAGAGATCTGTGTTCTGCCAGATCCTGCTTACCTCCCTAGCCTCAAAATATACCTCTAATAATATCCCAGCATTCTCCATGTTTATTTGACCATTAAACTCTTTTCTTCCCCTTTAAACTTTGTAGTCTCTGCCAAACACTTTCAGGAAACATCAGCTCCATCTCTTACTAACTGTTGCCTTTGACAAGTAGCTCAATTTCAGAATTTCCCCTCACTAACTCCTTCTGAAAGAGTATTAACTGAGATGCTGTAAGAAAAGTGTTTGGCAAACAGCCTGAAGCATAGCAAGCATTCAATAGGAAACTGTCCTAACATAAACATCTACTGTCCAGGGATATTACAAGAGGAGAAAGTGGGTAGTTCTGGACATCCTTAGGAAACCTCTTGACACATGAAATTCTTACAGTAAGCAATTATCTAAGTTTCTTTCAAAGAACATTAAGAAGAAAAATCCAGTGGACAAATTAAAATCTAAATTACTCTAAATAGGTATGGTCACTTTAAACCCTATCCGGTATACCTATTGAACAGACAGTCAGGAAGGTGGATCTTAGTCTCAGCCTTGCATTAGATAACTTTGGGCAAATCAATTTTACCTTTCCGGGATTGTTTTCTGATGAGTTCTATAAAGATGTGGGACTACAAGATTTTAAAAATGTCCCTCTAAAAACTGTAGGATAATATAATGCAGAACCAGTAGCAGTGGCTCACGCCTGTAATCCCAACGCTTTGGGAGTCAAGACAGGTAGATTACTTGAGCTCAGGAGTTCAAGACCAGCCTGGCTAACATGGTGAAACCCCATCTCTACAAAAAATACAAAAATTAGCTAAGTGTGATGGCACACATCTATAATCCAGGCTACTTGGGGGTCTGAAGCAGGAGGATCACTTGAGCCTGAGTAGTTGAGGCTGCAGTGAGCTGTATTTGTACCACTGCACTCCAGCCTAGGCAACAAAGTGAGATTCCGTCTCCAAAATACATATATATGTATGTATATATGTATGTATGTACGTATGTGTGTGCGTGTGTGTGTATATATTTATAGCTACTACACTTTGTGAGATACTTTCTAATCTCTCAGAGTTCAGCATTCTCATGTTAAATTTATGCATTTAAACACATTATTTTTATATGTTATCAAAGCTACCAACTGCTAGTAAGGATACTGAAGATCTAATTTAATCTAACTCACTGACATTTGGAAACATAAACAAAATGAACACCACTACCTGTGAAGGAGAAAATGGTAGTGTTTTCAGTGGTGTATGTTTTAGCGCTGTATTACCACCATCGTTCAGTAAGCCATCCCTAAGTTCGCTGCCGGGGGAATGACCCACTCGCATTCTTCTCTTCTTTCTGAGGATGGCTGGCGGAGTGCTAAACTTGGCCATATGTGGGGAAGGAACAGGTTCACTGTTGCCACCATTACAAATGTTTTTTTTCCCTTCAAGTACAACACTGACATTAAGTTGACATTCCACGGCTCCTTCATTGTGCTGAATTCTCATGAATTTAACTGGGGTGGATTTGATAGGAGAAGCAGCAGCATCAGAAATATCAAAACTGGCAACATCACTCCATGCTACAGGATCCTGCAATAAATTAAATTGTTAAAAAGTTAATGCTATAAACTAGTTAAATCTGATCTTGAACATAGGATGGTGACTTCCACAGTTAATTAACCACTCATTTTATCAGTAGAAATGCTTTCCTGGGAACTTTTTTTTTAAGCAAGACCATTTGAGAGAAACAGATTATGGTTTTCCTACAATTCCAAAATTCATAGTAGTTCATCTAATTCAGTAGTTGAAGCTTACTGTCAAAGCATTTTAAGAAGAACAAATTATAAGTTATTATCAAAAAGTATAATACATCATAAAACTTCACTGTTTACTCCACAACAGGAAAACAGCATCAAATTCTACATAATAGTTTGGTAATGTGTATGGAACATGTTAAAAATGGTGATACACTTTGGTCCAGAAATTCAATTTAACCTAAAGACATAATCATGATTTTGCACAAAGCTTTATGTAAATATGTTATTTATAATACTGAAAAACTAGACACTACCTAATGTCCAATAATAATAGTACACTGGGTAAATATATTTTCTTATAGTCATCTGATGGAATACTACAAAGTCTCTAAAATTCAAGTTTAGGACTTGAATTCACAGTGGCTCAGGCCTGTAATCCCAGCACTTTGTGAGGCCGAGGTGGGAGGATCACTTGAGGTCAGGAGTTCAAGATTAGCCTGGCCAACATGATGAAACCCCATCTCTACTAAAAATACAAAAATTAGCTGGTGTGGTGGCAGGCACCTGTAATCCCAGCTACTCAGGAGGCTGAGGCAGGAGAATCACTTGAATCCAGGAGGTAGAGGTTGTAGTGAACCAAGAATGCACCGCTGCACTCCAGCTTGGAAAACAGTGAGACTCCATCTCAAACAAACAAACAAACAAAAAAATCAAGTTTAGAAAAGTTAAGAAAACAGAAACATGTTCATGATACAGTGGAAGACAAAAAAAATTCCACAAATACAATTCATAAGTGTATTTTTGGATTTAAAAATATAATGTGTGTTTTCTATGTATAGAGCACAGACTGAAAGGAATATATCAAATTATTAACTCTGGGTTTATGAAGGATTATAATTTTCTTTTTTTATAGTTTTCTCTAGTTTCCAGCTTTCTCTAATGCACTCACATAACTTATATAATAAAAAATGAATTAAGTTTTTAATTTAAAAAAAAATTCTTCACAAGGCACATAACTTGAAAAAAATTTGAACTTCTCCCCACTAGAAGCTACTGCAAAATATCAGAACAAAATTAAGCATGGCATACAAAACATAAAACTGGTCAATGTCCAAAACTGAGTTTCTGAGCATTAAATCATGTAACTAAAATTGAACTTTTGATAATCTTACAATTTTTAACTTACAGATTCAATAAGTTCTAGAGTCTCTGCAAATTCTGGTATTGTCTGCAAAGAGGACAACACAGCATTTGCCTCCACGGCCAGGAACTTCGTGGGTGAATTCTGCTGAGCAGACACAGGCTGATTTTCATCCATACTGTAAAACTCACTAGTGTGCTCATCAAGGCTATTTAGAGTATTAGACATGTTATCATCCATGAGGAAACTTCCAGACCAGCCAGAAAAACTTCCAGCCTGCTAAAAATACAAAAGAAATTTGAATATTATTTCTCATTCTCATGTAGGCATAAATTCAGATTTCAAGTGAAAAGTTTTCTCTAGAACAACACATTTCAATTAGGCTAAAAATACAGTAGCAAATATTTTGTCTTTCCTCAAAATTGGTATACTTTTTTTTTCATTAAACTTCATGCTTTGACTATGTTTCTTTTTTCTAATTAAAATTTTTAATCTATACAATCATGATGAGATAAAACAAGCATCTATATACAACCTAAAGCCCAAACTCTTAGAATCTGGCTATTATCTTCCTTCCAAACTTCATTTCTCAACATTTCCATTCACAAGAGCTCCTCCCAGGGCATACCCAGCTGGAGCACTTGAAATTCCCCAACGAATTATACTCTTTTGACCTGGAGTGCCTTTGCACATATGCTGCTCCCTTTATCTATTAATAAAATGCTCTGAAACCTACTGACCAGGGAAGTTATTTTTTTTGAAATGGAGTCTTGCTGTGTCGCCAGACTGGAATGTAGTGGCGCAATCTCGGCTCACGCAACCTCCGCCTCCTGGGTTCAAGCAATTCTTCCGCCTCAGCCTCCCAAGTAGCTGGGACCACAGGCGTGTGCCACCATGCCCAGTTAATTTTTGTATTTTTAGTAGAGACGGGGTTTCACCATGTTGGCCAGGATGGTCTCGAACTCTTGATCCACCCACCTTGGCCTCCCAAAGTGCTGGGATTACAGGTGTGAGCCACCGCACCTGGCTGGGAAGCTATTCTTAAGACACAGTTTGAATACTGGAAAGTACTTTACCTGATTATATACTTTGATCTGCTTCATTTATAATAATGTCCTAATTCATCTATGTTGCTAATATATAATCATTGTCTTTCAAGTTAGGACTTCTTCCAGGAACTCTTCCCTGATGAACTGAATCTAAATCAAGCACCTCTCCTATATGTTACCATAAACTTTGTGACTTACAAATTGTCAAAAGTCAAAGAGAGAGAGAACTCTAAAAATAGCAACAGAGACCAAGCATGATGGATCATATCTATAGACCCAGCATTTTGGGAGGTCAAGGCGGGCAGATTGCTTGAGCCGAGGAGTTTGAGAGCAGTTTGGCCAAGATAATGAAACCCCATATCTACAAAAAATACAAAAATTAGCTGGGCATGGTGGCACGCACCTGTAGTCCCAGAACTTGAGAGGCTGAGGTAACAGCATCACTTGAATCCAGGAAGTCAAGACTGCAGCAAGCTGTGATCACATCACTACACTCCAGCCTGGATGACAGAGTGAGACCCTGTCTCAAAAAAAACCATTAAAAGTAAAAATTGCAAGGTAAAAGCATTAAGTCACATATAAGGGAATCCTTATTAGAAAACAGAAGATTTATCTGAAAAAAAACATTACAGGCCAGAAGAGAATTAAATGATATATTTGAGAAGTGCTGAAAAAAAAAAAAAAAAATGCCTGCCAAGAACACTCAACCCAGCAAAGCTATCCTTCAGAAATGAGGGAAAAACAAAGTCTTTCCCAGACTTTTTTTTAAATGGTGGGAATTTACCACCACTACAATCAGCCTTACAAGAAGTGCTCAAAAAGTCCTCTACCTGGAAGCAAAAAGATAACAAACACTATTATGAAAATATGCAAAAGTATAAAATTAACTAGTAGAGTAGGTACACAAAGGAGAAAGAGAGAATAATCAAACCACAGTACTACAGAAAACCACCAAACTGCAATGATAAACATTAAGAGAGGAAGAAAGGAACAAAGGATATACAAAACCAGAAAACAATTAACAAAATTGCAAGAGTAACTCTACACATATCAATAATAACCTTGAATGTAAACATTAAACTCCATACCTAAAAGACATAGACCAACTAAATGGATTAAAAACACATGAACCCACTATATGCTGCCTACAAAAACTCATGTCATCTGTAAAGACACATATGGACTGAATGTTTACATTCAGGATGTAAAAAGATATTCTATGCAAACAGAAACTAAAAGCAAGCAGGAATAGCTATACTCATATCAGATAAAGGATAATTTAAGTTAAAAACTATAAAAAGAGGCTGGGAATGGTGGCACATGCCTATAATCCCAGCACTTTGGGAGGCCAAGGTGGGCAGAATCACTTGAGTTCAGGGGTTTGAGACCAGCCTGGGCAACATGGCAAAACCCTATCTCTACAAAAAATAAAACTAAAAATTAAAAAAATTAGCTGGACGTGGCAGCACATGCCAGTAGTCCCACTACTTGGGAGGCTGAGGTGGGAGGATTGTCTGAGCCTGGGAAGCTGAGGTTGCAGTGAGCCGAGATCACAGCACCGTACTTCAGCCTGGGGGACAAAGTGAAATCTTGCCTCAAAAAATAAAAAAACCCTTTGAAACCCTGCCTCAAAAAACAACAACATACTATGAAAAAAGACAAAGAAGGTCAATATACAATGATACAGGGATCAATTCAGCAAGATAATGTAACTGTAAATATATATGCACTAATATCAGAGTGCCCAGCTACATCAAGTAAATATTTGATCTAAAAGGAGTAATAGATTCTAATACAAAATAGCTGGAGACGTCAACACCCACTCTCAGCAATGAAAGATCATCTAGACAGAAAAATCAACAAAGAAACAAACATTGGCTTTAAATTGCACTTTATACTAAAAATGAACTTAACAGACATCTACAGAACATTACATCCAATATCTGCAGAATATACTTTCTTTTCATCAGCACATTCTCTAGGATAGACCACATAGTAGGCCACAAAATAAGTCTGAACAAATTTAAAAGAATTAAAGTCATATCAAGTATCTTTTTTGACTGTAATGAAATAAAACTAGAAATCAATAACAAAAGAAACTTTTGAAATTGTAAACTGAAATTAAGCAACATGCTCCTGAAAAACCAAGAGGTCAATGAAGAAATTAAGAAGGAAACCAAAACATTTCTTGAAATAAATGAAAGTATAAACACCAACACCTATGGGATACGGCAAAAGCAGTATCAAAAGAAAAGTTTATAGTAATAAATGCCTACATCAAAAGAGTGGAAATAAACAATGTAGCTAGTAAAATAAGAACAAATCAAACCCAAAGCTATCAGAAGAAAATAAATAATAAAAATCAAAGTAGAAATAAACAAAATTGAGACAAATAAATACAAATAATCAATGAAATGAAATGTTGGCTTTTTAAAAAACATAAACAAAATTGACAAACTGCTGGTCAGGCTAACCAAGGAAAAAAAGACCCAAATAAATAAAATCAGAAACAAAAAAGGAGACATTACAACTGATAACACAGAAATACAAAGGATCATTAGAGGCTATTATGAATAACTGTGTACCAAGTTAGAAAACTTAGCAGACAGTGGCTCACACCTGTAATTCCAGCACTTTGGAAGGCTGAGGTGGGTGGACCACCTAAGATCAGGAGTTCGAGACCAACCTGACGGATATGGTGAAACCCTGTCTCTACTCAAAAAACAAATTTAGCTGGGCAGCATGGCGCACACCTGTAGTCCCAGCTACTCGGGAGGCTGAGACAGGAGAATTGCTTGAACCTGGGAGGTGGAGGTTGCAGTAAGCCAAGGTCACACCACAGCACTCCAGCCTGGGCAACATAGCAAGACTCCATCTCAAAAAAGAAAAAGCAAAAGAAAAAGAAAAGAAAATTTAGCAGAAATGGATAAACTTCTGGACACATATAACCTATCAAGATTGAACCAAGAAGAAACAGAAAACCTCAACAGACCAATTACAAGTAGCAAGATTGAATCTGTAATAAAACATCTCCCATAAAAGTAAAGCCTAGGACCCAATGGCTTCATTGTGGAATTCTACCAAACATATAAAGAAGAACTATCAATTCTTTTCAAATTCTCTCAGAAAACTGAAGAGGAATGAATTCTTCCAAAACCATTCTACAAGGTCAACATTACTCTGATACCAAAACCAAATAAAGAAAACTATAAGCCAGTATCTCTGATGAACATAGATGCAAAAAGACATTCACTAAGATCAGATGGAATTTATCCATGGATGTAAGGCTGATTCAACATACATACATCAATAAATAAAATCAAATATCAATAGAATAAAGATTATCAAAGTAGACATAAAAATCATTTGATAAAATTCAACATCTTTTCCTGATAAAAACTCCCAAGTTAACTAAAGAAAAAACACACCTCAACACAATAAAGGCCACAGCCAACATCATAATGCACGACAAAAAGTTGAAAGCTTTTCCTCTGAAATCTCAAATGAGACGAGGATGCCCATTTTTACCACTTTTATCAAACACAGTACTGGAAGTCCTAGCCAAAGCAATTAGGCAAGAGTTTAAAAAAAAAAAAATAGGCATCCAAATTGGAAAAAAGAAAGTCAAACTGTCCCCATTAGCAGACAACATGAGCAAAAACAGTGCTAAAATTCATAAAGAATTACAAATAGCTAAAGTAATCCTAAGCAGAAAAAAATAAATAAATAAAAATGCAAAGCTGGAGGCAACACACTAAAAATCTTCTAAATATTCTATATAGAACTGCAGCAACCAAAAACAGCATGGTACTGGAACAGAATATAGACCCCAGAAATAAATCCATGCATTTACAGCCAACTGATTTTCAACAAAGACACCAAGAACACTCATTGGAGAAGAGGTGGTCTCTTCAATATCAAAATGGATAAAAGACTTAAATGTAAGACCCAGTCTATAAAACTACTAAAAGAAAACATAGAGACTGGGTGCAGTAGCTCATGCCTGTAATTCCAGCACTCTGGGAGGCTGAGGCAGGCAGATCACTTGAGGTCAGGAGTTCAAGACCAGCCTGGCCAACATGGTGAAACCTCATTTCGCCTAAAAATACAGACACAAAAAAAATTAGCTGGGCATGATAGCAGGCACCTGTAATCCCAGCTACTCAGAAGGCTGAGGCAGGAGAACTGCTTGAACCTGGAAGGCAGAGGTTGCAGTGAGTTCAGATCATG